TTATCCGCCCACCCTTGTAACCTGTCCAGGTCCGATTGTAGCCTGCTTCTTCCTTCTAGTGTGCCCACGTCCCCCCACATCTTAGTGTCATCAGCAAATTTGAACAGGGTGCTTTTCACCCCCTCATCCAAATCACTGATGAAGATGTTGAACAGCGCGGGCCCGAGGACCGAGCCCTGCGGAACCCCACTGCCCACGTCCTTCCAAGTTGAGAAGGACCCATCCACTACCACCCTCTGGGTGCGGCCCTCCAGCCAGTTGGCGACCCATTTGACTGTGTGGGTGCCTACACCACAGCCTCCCAGTTTCTTAATGAGAACGGGGTGAGAGACAGTGTCAAAAGCCTTCCGGAAGTCCAGGAAGACTATGTCCACTGCTACCCCTGCATCTAATGATCTGGTGATCTGATCGTAAAAGGCCTGTACCACCTCTCTTGGAGGTTGGTTCCAGACCCTAGCCGCCCTGACTATGAAATAGCGCCTCCTGATATCTAGCCTAAACCTACCCTCTGCCAACTTGTGATCGTTATTCCTGGTCACCAGGTTGGTCTGACAGGATCCTGCCACTGATGAACCCGTGTGGATTGCCCCATCAGGTCCCCCATCAGAGGCCTTAATAAAGTTATGTAGTCATGGCGTTACAGGGAAAGGTCCATTCATATATTAGAAATAGGCTTAAAGATAGAGAGCAAAGGGTGTGTATAAATGGTCAGTTTTGGGAATGGAAAAAAGCAAACAGCAGGGTCCCATAGGGACCTGTATTAGGATCAGTGCTGTTTAATATATTTATAAATGATCTGGAAAAGGGGTTGAGTAGTGACGTGGCCCAATTTGTGGATGACATAAAATTATTCAAAATGGTAAAGACCAAGGTGGACTGCAAAGTACTACAGAAGGATCTGACGCTATTGAGCAAATGGGCAACTAAATGAGAGCTGAAATACAATGTAGATAAGTGTCAAATGATGCATATGGGCAAAGATAACCCAAGCTATACCTACACTATCTCTACCTATACTTTCTCCCTACCTATACTCTAACTATACCTACACTATCTATTACCACACAGGAAAGAGGTCTTGGGATCATTGTGGACAGTTCTCTAAAAATATCAGCTCAGTGCTCAGCAGCTGTCAAAAAGGCGAGGAAAATGTTAGGACTTATTAAGAAGGGACTTATAAACATAATGGACAGCTTTTGTCCTGTTCCACCACTGCCCAGCCTGGGCAGGTGAGCCTGGAGTAGGCACGGGATGCGCAGGGTCAGGGCTGTGCAGTGCAGGTCCCCACTGGTATCGCAGGGCTGGGGCCAGTGGTGGTGGCAGCTAAAAGGAGCCACCTGCTACCTGGGCTTCCTAGAAAGGCAGTCCAGCTGTGGAGCTGCCCCAGCCTTGCTGAATGCAAAGGGGGTGGCAGGATGTGCTATGGCTAGACTGTGCCTGAGCCAGGGGACCAAGAGACCTGCCACAGGTTGGATCCAGCTTGCAGTCCATATTTTGCCCACCCCTGATATAGGAGGAATCGTTTCAGGAGTAGCCAAGACTCCTTTCAGGCTTTATGTCAAAACCAACACCTTAAACTTCATGCAGTAAACAACTGATAGTTAACATAGATCATGGGGCACAAATGTAATGGCCCCATCTTGAGAGGCTCCACACTGTTTTCCCAGCAGTACATTCCCAGTGGTGTTACTGTGGCCCCACATAATCTTTTCCAGTAATCTGTCTGGGGGTTGCAAAGGCCTGGAAAGAAGTAGCAAGGTCTGCATCTTCAAGAAAAGTTAGCAATGTTCTTGGCAAATACAAGTGATAAAAGATGCTTTTGACAACTGCTACTACTAGGAGATCTGTAGGCACTAGTGGCAAAAGAAGATGAGAGTTTTAACTTAAGGTTCAAATTTGACTGGTATTAATAACAGCCAGTTAGTGGTACAGGTTACCCAATGGTACAGTTACAGTAAATTTAAATAGAGGTATTCTCACTGAGATTAGATCACTATTTGGAAATTACAGTGTCTGGTTGATTATGATGAATGCAGGGTTTGGATTAAATAACCAGAGGTCCCTCTCATCTGCAATTCTGTAACAGGTTCCTACCTCTTTTTTAAACTTTTATTCTAAAAAGGGGAAAAAATTAAAATCTGCATTCACTGTATTTCGTGGTGTACAAGTCAGGTCTTGAAGCCCAATTATTGTGTCTTAAAAAACAAACTCGACTTTTACACCATGCTGGTGCTGCTTGCAGGGGATGCCGCCGTGCCAGCAGAGCACCAAACCCATCCCCTCCCCCATCCCCTGTGAGTAGTGTCACTGGCAGTGCTGCTTGCAGAGGATGGGGCCACACCAGCCAAGCATGAACCCAGCCCCAACTTTTATACACCGTACCTATAAAAATCCTTACCTTTCAGATTGGAAAGTTGGCAGCCGACCTATACACCGTGTCGACCTATACACTGTGAAATGCTGTAAACCTAATTCTTCCTCCATTCGT